GGCTGAACTCCAACTTCTCAAATCTGTTCTGGATGAAGGAAAGCAGCTGTGCCACTGTCGCTTCAGGGGAAAAAGAGAGGTTTGGCAGTCGTACCCTTCCACACAAGAACATCCTCGCCTGTAATACAGCAACACTGATTTACAAGCAGACACCAGGAGGAGTTTAACGGGTTAAATTTCACTAATTAAACCCAGACTGTCACAAAGAAGAGTTACGGAGACCATGGCACGTCCTGCTTTATTAGTGTTAAGGAGGGTCACACTAATGGTACAGTCTGTCAGTCAGAGATTTCTGTGCTTCTGCTTCAGTGCCTCGCACCCAAACTCCATGCACTAGTGGCAATAATGAACAACGGTGAGGAAAAAATAATAATCATAAAATAATAAAACAGTTAAACCCAAACTCAACAAATTTATACATACACAGTCTGAGTCAACGTTGGGCATGTAAAAAAGTTTCCATAAAAAGGCAAACATGACCGTTAATCTTATGGTTCATCCAATTTGAAACAGAGATAGTATATATATATATAATTTAAAAAAAAAGGGACTAATGGACTTACAATGAAGAAACTTTGCACTTTTGGACCTCCAATATTTTAGGGCAGTTAGACAAAATCAGCATTTGTAAAGCAGATGTGTGTTAATGTTTAACGTTGCAGGGAGGCATTTTTGTCAGTTCAATCAAGGGCAAAATTTAAAAGGAAAAAGTACCGTTTTTTTAAAGACAGTAGGTTCGAGGTTGTGCCTAAATGCTTCCGATGAGTTACTATCTGCAGTCTAATATTCAGTATGAATTGTGCTAATTGGACAACAGAAGCTTTCTCACCACGTAATATCTGACCAAAGCATAAAAATACATCAGACGACAGATAAAGGACCCTTAAAGAACCCCAGTTTCATTTTTACAGGTTCAATTTTCTGTTTAAGACCTCTGAAGACCTTCAACAGTGTTGAGACTCTCCCATCACGCTGCTTTACGAAAAATCTCAACCACAAACTCCCTTATAAAACAACTCCACAGACCCTGAACATCAGCATTCATGTTAATGTGTTAATGGGATAGCTCCGCCCACACATGCTAAGGCAGCGTTCAGACAACTTCTTTTTAAACTCTCTCAAGCGCACTTCATGTTGTTGTGGATGGACCTCGCTGCTCTAGTCTGCTCAGGGTGGTTCACGTTCTAATCCGTTAAAAAACGGTAACCTTTTCTTCAGAGTGTTTCAGGTGTCATCCACAACTGACCAATCAGCACTGAGGACGCCTCTCTTCACTCAACCAACATGGAAAGCTAGTTTTGGTTTTCCAAAAACTCATCATAAAACGCTGTTTCAGGCAGTGAATTCATAACCATTTCATGTAATAACTTTGTGTGAGGGAGCTTTAAGAGGAGGACGTCTGGTTCCTATCACCACCACTGTGAACAATTCCATTGTGAATGACTGGGAGCTGTACAACACCCCGCACAAAGAGTGCTACAAGCTAAACGTAAAAAAAACAAACAAACATTCTATTCATGTTTCAAAATGTTTGTGCCTGTATCTGTCCTGTAGAGGTGGGCAATAGGATGATGCTTAATTGTTATTGTGACTATTTCACAATATTCTTTGTGAGCATATTGTGGACGCTGTCAGTACTTAAAGAACACTACCTACAGACTTCATTACAAAACATACATAATTAGTCCTGTTTAATTACATTTAGTGCAGTTTGAATAAAACAGTTTGAAAACAATGCATTTCGAAACACTGAATAAAAATCACTGTTAAGTTGTAGGTTAAGTTATTTTTATGTGCAGCACTACAGGTTCTATTTTGTCTGTTTCAGCTTATTAAATCTCAGAAAAACAATATCGTGATGCATACTGTGCATCATGAAAATGTCCAAGTATCGTGATATGATATTTTTGCCATATCGCCCACCTCTACTTTCACATCCTCTTAAATCACTGTTGTTTTTGTCAATCAAATGTGTTAATTCTCTCTCCAAGAAGTGCCCTCTTTCTAGGCCAGAAACATGCTTTACGCGGATATACGAATGTGAAAGATTTGACTAGGCCTCACAATTATTACATATTCCTTTATGTTATTCTTTATATATGTTATCATATCTCCTGTGAAATGTGTTTATTTGATGTTATCCAAAAGGTGTTATTTGATAACACCTTTAGACGGCGGTGGTGTGCCGTTTATTTGACGCTTGTTAATAACACCTTTAGAGGGCAGCAGTGAGTATTGTCTGTTTATATGAGCTCTTTCAAAAAAAATGGCAAAAACTGTTCATCACACTTATTTGGCAATTAATTGCAAGCTAAAGTTTCACGATCCTGGCAGTCCTAGTTTCGTGCTACACAAAGACAGCTGCATTCTGAGTGCTGCAGGAAGGGGCGCCACGCTGATTCTCTATTATCTACATGCTTGGCTGTTGTTTCTATTAGTGTAACAGTAGATTCTGTTCACAAACGCTCTGATTTGTCTTCCCGTTTTAGTTCTAAGTATTTTAACCTCCACATATGTGTAAGAACACATGTTGAGTTTGTGCAGAAGGACTGCGTGTTTTAATGTCTTGGCTGGGTGGTATGTGTGTTAGCATACTTGCGTTGAGTATGTTTCTGGCCTAAAGTTCACCAGGGAGCAACAAACCACCTTGACTGAAAAGCGCTCCCCTAGCCGGCTCAGTGTGCTTCATGTTCTAAAACTGCCCATTTAAGATGGGGAAAAAAGACGTTAACTGTTGTGCCGAGCCCCCATGAAAGAGTGCCAATTGTGTTTGCCAGTCAAATGTGTTCACCCACCTCCTTAAAGGCCAGTCATATGCAAAAAGTTTGAACGCCTTTGGTCACTTTTACATGTCTTAATTTTCTAAGTAAAAATAAGTTAACACACTTCAATATCACTTATGCCCAGGCTGCATTTTATGTTTTATTTTTGTTTCCAGCAGGTTAAATTCAGCATATAAACACTCATTGCGGATTAAAATGTGCAGATGTGTCTTCCCTGTAGAGAATGTGTTCACTTATTTTCACTCAGAAAATCATTTGACCGGGGCGCCTAAACTTTTGCATGCGACTGTACATTCGAAACACCGTCCTCAAAATGTTCACAAAAAGAACTGACAAGTAAAACGTACTAGAGTGAATGTAAAGAGGACCGCACTTAACATGAACTCTGCTACAAAACACTGACACAGCCATATATTAACTCATATAACAGTGTTATGTTACCATTACTGCTCTCGAGACAGTTGCCTACAGTCCACTCAGCAAAAATTAGCATGTGATATGAGCCTGGTGGACATCATAAGCTATAATGACACCAAACATGACAACACATGACGGCAGATGCCCTCTGCCACAACATGTTTATCACTGCTGTCGGAACAAAACCTTGCATGTCCAAAATGTTAGTCAATGGAACCAGACTTTTTTCCAAGTAATTCTGTGCCGTTTCTTTTGGTCCCTTCATCATGGAATTTAGATACAACGTAAAGGGCAACAGGTAGTTTCAAATTATGTCAAAAACCAAAAAATGACCAAAATGGAGATACGAGGTTTTGTTTCAGCAGCAGTGATATGCTTTGTTTACGTCAGTGTTATGAAGCAGAGCTCACGTAAGACTTCCAGCAATAAAACAGGGGTCTGGCACGCCAACCAAACGTTCTATCAGCGGCTTCAAGAAGTGCGTCCTGCTTTTGAATACGAGTCGTCCGAACACCCACTAACGCTGCTAACAATCAACAAAAACAGGCAGCCTCCAATCAGCATGATGTCACTATGATGTCAATAGTATTCCATGCTATTCAGTTTCATTCACTGCTGCCAGCCTTATGGACTGAACCGCTCCTTTCAGTAATGGTTTACATTTACCGTGTTCCTCTCAGGCTTTATGAACAAATCCCTTTCGCTCACTGTTAAGGCCAGCATGTCTCAGTACTTCAATTTACACGGGCTGCTGGAGCCTTTCCCAGCCTAATGATCATCATTACAGAGCGGAGAAAGCGGTCAGAAAGTCATTATCACCCGCCCTGCTGAATAACGACGATGGCTGGGCTGAGAGGGCTTTGGGAAATGATTTTTGTCCTCTTATTTTGGAGAATCTAGTCGGTGAATCCTAGAGGTTTGGTGATTTAAACTAGGGCTGCACAATGTATTTTTATGTAATTTAAAATACAGATTGTTTTACTGTGTGCTTATGACCAATCACAATTCCAGATGAGTTTCTGTGGGTGTTTTGGTCAAAGAAATGCAGGCCAGTCTTTAACAACGTGCGTTATTGATTCATCAGTGTGAATTAGCAGGGTGGACAATGGACAGTACTTCTGTACTTGAGTAAAAAATACAAAAATGGTCAAATATCACTTAAGTAAAAAAGAAGCGTCACGTTTTCACATTTCTAACTGAGTAAAAGTACAGAAGTACTTTCTTTAAAATGTACTCAAGGGTCAAAAAAGGACTGAGTTATTGCAATTATGTTTTTTGATGATGATCTATTGAGGAGATCGTTCTTCATGTCAGCATCCAAGTCTCCTTATAATCAAAACAGAATAACACGATACCTGCAATATCTCAGTAATGTTATTTTGGATACTTGAGTACAAATATAGATAGAATACTTCTCATTTCACTTTATTACTATATTACTAAAGTAATATTTACCAAGTATTTCTAATTTTACTCAAGAACAGTGCTGTTCTTTGTCCACTATATCATAAAAAGTATCGGAACCGAAATATGTAAGAATATAATCGCGATGCCAATGTTGTGGCCATATCGTGCAGCCCTACTTGACCTGTTTCTCACATTCTCTCTCTATTTCTCTCGCACACAAAACACACAAATAAAACTTCTGTGACCATCAGTGCTTCCATATACAAGAGAATATATATATATATATATAATATATATAAATGCAAAATGAGTTAAAAATAAAAGAGTGCAACGACACAAGAACGTCTTTGCTCCCCTGTTCCCCCACAATTCTCTGAGAAATCTCTTTCAAGAGGAGCGGTGACCATCTGCCCAGAGTTTTTTTTTTCCTTGACTGTATGTCCAGCCAGTCTGTCAGTTCTAAAGCTCAAATGTTCCGTTTGAGATCGGTTAAAGTGTCCTCTTCTCCCACACCGTTTAGTTTACGTTTTTCCAGAGACTGTCAGAAAGTGGTGCAAATGAGACCAGTAGTGGTTGCTGATGGGTCACACACACACACGATTAAACTAAAATAAAAGCCTTTTTTTTTTTTAATAGTAAGAGTTCAGCAGGTCTCCCTCAGCTTGAAGCCCGTCAAGTTTCAGGTAAAAATCTCCAGTCTGTAATGAAATGTCCTGCTGGCTACGAGCTGCCCACAGAGCTGCCCAGGTTTATGCTTTCAGTCCCAGCCCACTCTCTCCCTGTTTGTGCTGCGCTGCTAAATGAACTTGAAGCACTTAGTCTTGTCGTGTGGAAGTCGTGTCTTAAACAGGACTGAGTCCACACGGAACTGCGTGTAGAGCAGCGGCATGTAACCATACACCTTCACAAAGAAGTTGATGCACTTGTGGCGCTCGTGGAAGTGCGAGTCGTCGTGCGAGAGGGCCTGCGGGCAGCCGGGACAGCGGAAGGTCCAGCGAGACGTCACCTGATCAGAGAGGAAAAAAGGGAGACAAAAAGGTTTAAAATCAACCGATGGTATCGTCAGTTGCTTGTAGATTCCATCTATCACAGCTGCTAATTAAGCTGGACAATTTCAATAGCTGAAAATACACCATCCATGGCTTTTTATGATGCACAACAGTATTATAAGTTTCTTTTGATGTGTAACATTCGGCCTTGTCCTCAATCAGCCCTGATATGCTGCCTGGCCTAGACCTGTTTTTGTTCTCACTCGTTGTGCTTGTTGAATTGATATAGCAGCAAGGAATGGCTTCCCTTACGAAACATGAACAGAGGCTTAAAAGATTTTTACCTTATGATTACAGTAATGATTAAACAAACAAGGCAATGCATAGCTAGAAGTAGCCTTTAGCCTCCTTTACATGGTCAAACCTTTACTGTTTTATTGTTTTAACAAGAAGAGATATACAGGCTGTAAACATGCAATTATTAAACCAATTTCAAACGCTACCAAACCACCACACCAAGAACTACCATACCACACAAAATACTACCAAATCACTGCATCAACAAAAGCCAAATCATACCAAATACCATCAAACCACAGTGAGAACTACCAAACCTTACAGAGAACTACCAAACCATACCAAATACTATCAAACCATACTGAGAACTACCAAACCACACACAGAATTACCGAACTATATTGATAACTACCAAGCCACATAGATAACTACCAAACTATATTGAGAACTCAAATCATACCAAATACTAACAAACCATACCAAGAAGTAACAAACTATACAGAAACTACCAAACCATACTGAGAACTACAAAATCATACCAAATACTAAAAAGCCATACCAAGAACTACCAAACTATACCAAATACAACCAAACAAAATACTACCAAATCACCACACCAAGAACTACCTGACTATACAAAGTACTACCAAACTATAGTGAGACCTACCAAACCATGTTTAAAACTAAACATACCAAAAACTACCAAACCATACAGAGAACTACCAAACCATACTGAGAGCTATGAAATCATACCAAATACTTCCAAACCATACCAAGAACTACCAAACTATACCAAATACAACCAACCAATATACTACCAAATCACCACACCAAGAAATACCAGACTATACAAAATTCTACCAAACAATAGTCAGACATACAAAACCATATTCAAAACAGCCAAACATACCAAAAACTACCAAACTGTATTGAGAACTCCGGGTACTCCGGTTTCCTCCCACGGTCCAAAAACATGCAGTCAGGCTGATTGGACATGCTAAATTGCCCCTAGGTGTGAATGAGTGTGTGACTGTGTATGTCTGTTTGTCTGCCCTGCGATGGACTGGCGACCTGTCCAGGGTGTATCCTGCCTTCCGCCCAATGACAGCTGGGATAGGCTTCAGCACCCCACCGTGACCCAGTAGGATAAGCGGTTTAGATGATGTATGTATGTATGTATGTATTGAGAACTATCAAATCATACCAAATCATATTGAGAACTACCAAACCACACAGAGAACTACCAAACCATACAGAACTACCAAATCATATTGAGAACTACGAAATCATACCAAATACTAACAAACCATAATAAGAACTACCAAACCATACCAAGATCTACCAAACTATACCAAATACAACCAAACAAAATACTACCAAATTACCACACCAAGAACTACCAAACTATACAAAATACTACCAAACTATAGTGAGACCTACCAAACCATATTCAAACCAACTAAGCATACCAAAAAACTACAAAATCATACAGAGAACTACTAAACATACCAAAACTACCAAACCACACTGAGAACAACCAAACATACCAAAAACAATTTATTTTCTCCAGTTTCGTCTGGCTTTAGCGTGTGCCTAGAAGGCATTAGCTTAGCTTGTTTGTGTCTAGCCTGTCAGATCATCAAGTAATTTATTGTGACAAAACTTCTCCCAATCCTAACCCAGAACACTTCAAGCACACATTTACTAGCCTACAGCTCCCTGAGTGAAAGGTCAGTTCTGTCCATTAGGCGAAGCCCTCTTATTGTTGATCTATGTTCATGTAATAATACAGAATTTATTCCAAGTAATTCTGGACCATTTCTATCAGTCCATTCATAATAAATGTTCACACAATGTAAAGGACAACTGGCCTTTTCAATTAGTGTAGTTATGAGGTTTTTATTATGACAATGACGAGTGTTTTTGCCCACTTCTTGTGGCTGCTGTAACCTCACAATTACCCCCAAGATTAATCTTTCTGGGTCGGTCAATGCAGTACTGAGACCTTCATTTCTCACAAATTACGCCATCATGTTTGTATGAGCAAAGAGATCCCCATTTATTTCACTGTCTGTCCATATTTTTAATGACAAAGCAAATGCTGCTGACTCCTCTAATCTACTGCCAAAGTTTCACACAAAAGGCTGTGGGCTGGAGGGTGGGAGAGAGAGAGAGAGAGATATGAGTGATTCAATAATGGATCTTATAAATTTTAAGGGTGGGATATATCACTCCACAGACTAATAACATCACGCACAGTATAGAAAATTTCATTAGATGCTTTATTCAGTGCAATACGCCTGCGAGAGTATAACATCAAAGACTTGCTGGAGCTTAACATAATCCAGCCATATAATCCCCTTTCAAAATTAGTTATGATTGGGAAATGAGTTAAACAGCGCTGTGTAACTCTCTACCAGTAACATTTCACATGTTAGAACTGTTTCAGATAGTTCGCTCCTCATAAACATGAACGCCAGGACAATTTCTTAATTAACTGCTGACCGAACAGCAGCACCAACAGGGCCGTGAACCATCGCTGACTGAAATCCGACAAATATTTACACACCACACTGAGCAATTCAAGCATTTATTATTTTAAATACAGAGATTACAAATGTGTGGCTGAAAGAATTACTTACACAGTGGTGAAACACAGACAATAACAATGCTATCTTTTACTTTTATGTTTTAAACAGAGATAAAGTGATCACATTTTTATGGCTGATTCCAAATTCTTTACGGCTGATTATTATGAGCCATTTTAAAAATGTTGTTTTTACCCGAAGCTCAGATTGTGTGAGCTAATTAAACACATGAAATGTCACAATGTAGTATATTACACTTTCAATACATAGATTTTGGAAATGTCACAGTGTAAATATCATTACTTGCTCTTTAGTGACAAACTGGCAATTTATTGTCTCTAAATGAGGAATCAGTTTCCTGTTTAAATACCATGAATAAACCATAAAACAAAGTGTGACTGGCTGTTTAGTTACACAATGAGGCGTGTATAACTATGTTAAGACAGTTTGGTTCAGGTGTAGCATCAGCATTCAAATACAGCATTCAAATACACTTACACTCATATGCAAAAGTCTGAACACCCCAGGTCACACTGAATATTGCTTTCTTCAAACTTTAGTGCATGACTTGCATGTATTTGCTGAGTTTAATATATTGGAGGAAAATATGTAAAATGTAATGTGCCATAACTTTGGCACAGGCCCCCCCTAACATATTCAAAATTCAGCAAATAAACAGTAATTGTGTATTGTGTATTAAAATGTGCAGAAGTGTTCTCTGTAAATGACCGACTGAGTGAGTGACCGACGTGTATCTCTTGTTTAAAAATAACCTGGGAATTTCATAAATATTACTGCAATTGATATACTAACCTTAATAGGGGGTTTGCGTGTGATATGTGACACCAGGAAGTTCATGGCAATGTCCTCACAGTTAACATACTCGTCCACCATGTCTCGAATGGCCTGGGGCATCACATATGAATACAGGTATGCGTAGTACTGCACAAACAAACAAACAAACAAACAGAGATAAGCATTATTTTCCATCTTCATAAAATATCTGCTATTTAGTTGTCTCTGTTTTTTTTTTTTTTAAATGCATTACTGTTGCTGTGGAGTAACTTTATTATTCAGAGTAGTAAAACCTTTAACAGAAATTTCAACATCATTTCTTTATTTACTAAAACTCTGATTTTCACTTGTGACTGATACCAAATTCTTGTTTTAATGCATTCAAACTCTACAAACGGTAACAGACCACCGCCATCAAATTTACTAATAACTAATTACTGTGTGAATTTCAGTATTTGGACCCTTCAGTATTTTCTTAAATAATTTATTAATCTACCAGAATGTCATTACAACTTATTGACGAAATGTGACACTGGAGATCATCTTTAAACTGAGCTGTGTTTATATAACCCCCTTCGCATTACCAGGCTTTGGCGGAGGTCCAGAAGAGACCCTGGGGATTTACCTTGTGGAAGAAGGCGGCGCCTGTCAGCACCATGGAGAGTTCACAGGAGTAGTTGGAGTTGTAGAGCCAGGACTGGTGGTTTACGTCCCAGGCATGAAACCTCCCTGGAAAACCCACGATACGATCCCGGGCCTCACGCCACACCCTGAAAGAGAGAAAGAAAGAAAGAAAGACAGAAAGAAAGAAAGAAAGATAGAAAGAAAGAAAGAACAAAAGAAAGAAAAAGAATGAAAGAAAGATAGATAGATAGAAAGAAAGAAAGAAAGAAAGAAAGAATGAAAGAAAGAGAGAGAGAGAGAGAGAGAGAGAGAGAGAGAGAGAGAGAGAGAGATTTATCCCTTCAAACAAGGACACAGTCATTAATATGAGCTTTCTGTATCAGAACCCAGTCAAATGAACAGTAATGAAGAAAAAAGTAAAGTTTTACAAAGTAACATTAAAGGCATGTGAGCTGTTTGTTTTCCCTTTGTTTGTTCTTTATGCAAGTAGCTAAATGAATGTTCAATTGTACATTTTAGGCTAACTGTAACATAGCAAGAGGCAATTCTGTTCAGATTTGGATGACTTTGGTAGCCTATAAAGTCCTATAAAGCATGCTCTTCTTATATGTCCACAACATTCAATAGACACAGCCAGCTAAACACAAGTGTTGCACCTAGCAAATAAGCTCAACATAGCAGTGGACACTCCTAGATTGAGGTAAGTAAACAGTTTTTCCTACCACGGTAGCAGCACTAAATGTTCCCTGCATTCACAAAGTTAGAGGGTTGGATTAGATCCTTTTACCCACAATAACGAAGTAAATATTGATTTGTAAATGCAAACATATGTGCTGCAAACACAGGACTGGCTGTCTGGACACACACAGATGTTACTAGCATGCCGGTAGCTCCCCCTTGTGGATAATCCTGTTCTGAATGAATGAATGAATGAATGAATGAATGAATGAGTGAGTGAGTGAGCGAGTGGTGCTTCGCATCTTTTAGAAAACAATCAGTCTGAAATATCAGTCTGAAATATCAATTAAATCTAAATGATGTCTAATGCTGATAAATTGCTTTCTAAAGCAGCACTTCTGCAAGCTTGCTTTATCAAAGAAGCAGCATTACTGAGTCACGGGAATAAAAACAGGCTAAATATGGTGAGTTAGCGCTGCTGTGACTCTCCCTGTTAAGCCTGTAATAATCATTTAAATGTCAGAGGCGTCGGGTCAGGAGTTTTTCGGACCATGTCGTATGTCTTTACGTACTGACGTCACACACACAGGCTCAGAAAGAAGGTCCGGCTCAATGTTTAGGTCTCAAATGCAAAATTGGCATTATACTGATAAAGATATGATGATAGATAATTCACCCACATCGTCAGAAAACGCGTCCTTCACCAGGTTTTGACTGAGTTCTCTTTGAATAGTCTTGCAAATCAATCGCAGTCCTCAGATTCATCTGCTCAAGGGAGGAGTCCCAAGCATTACCCACATTACAAAATGTTCTTCCGCATTTTGTGTGCAGTAACACACTTCCACCAGAGAGGTCGCCAAATCTATAAAACTTACATTGCAAATACTGATATGACTCTTGATATAATCGAGCATCCCTAACTACCACTATTACTTCTAATACTAATACTGATACTACTACTACCACTAATAATTCTTCTACTACTACAAATACTACTTACAATACTGCTACTCATAATGTTATTACCACTACCAAAAACACCACCACTACTACTACTACTAATAATAATAATAGAGATGTAAAAATGCATTAATGCATCCATCTGACACGACTATTCAAAGGAATTGGTTATAATATTCAAAATAAAACGCTTTGGCTATTTTGAAACTTACAAACAAACAGCTTTGTTGTTTTTCTAGTTTGTAGTTCACTACAGGGTAAACAGTTTCTTCACTCACATTTCCATATTCAATGTATTTTTGTCACAAACATTTTTGTTAAATTGAACTATGGTGAACTTTCACAATATAAGGTCAGATACTCAAAGCTGAAACAAATAAATAAATGACAGTGCCTTTCCCAAACCCACAGGATCACCAGACGATCAAATAATACAAACCAACCAAAAACAAGAAGCAATAAGACACAGAACCATTAACTGAAGACAACAAGCAAGACATACAGAGAAGCTCCTATTAAGCTAATCTGGGATTCGAAAGAAAAGAACCAGAGAAGCTTGAGAAGTTGCACTGATCCAAACTACTGTTTTAAATCTAGTGAATATTTTGATCTTGCTGACATTCTGATACTATTTTGAATTTATTAAAAAACTGACAAAGGAATGGATAGAAATGCAAAAGACAGGCAGAGAGAGAGACGTTACACTCTAACGCTGTCCTGTTGGAGGAGTTTAGCTAAACAGGAAGGATGGAGGCCTGTGCGGCTTTAAAATGAGAGGTTTGCACTGCACTCAGTATAAAGCATGGATCCAGTGTGATGACAAAGAATAAGAGTAATATGTTCAGATTTTTTTGTGCGCATGACCTGAGCAAAAGTTCACGTCTGCTCTAGAATTCCTAAAGTAATCAGAAACAGATATTGCACAAGGCTGAACAATAAGAATCTGCAGCTTTAAACTTCAGTCCATACAAAACAGCTTTGAAAGCCTGTGAACATTCAAATATAATCATTAAATTCACTACTCTGAATCTGACATAACGAATCTTCCTCTTAATATTCTGTAGTGTAAAGCTTTTTATTGTGGGCAATATGATGATATGGTCATTGTTTAAGGAAAACTGAACAAATGTATGAATCATAAAAAGACAGATTAAGACTAACTGCAGAGAGCCTGTAAACGACAACAACAACAACAACCAGATGTAACTGCATAAATTAGCAGCTGAGTGGCTAAATTATGGCACATGGGTGGGTGATATGAACTCAATTTATATCGCAATTTTTCTGACTATTTGAACCACAATATATCACATCACAATAATAATAACAATGATAATAATAACAATGATAATAATAATAATGATAATAATAATAATAATAATAATAATAGCTGCAAGTGGCAATTCAGGGGTCCAAGCACATTTCTGGCACCAATTTGGATCTTTTTAAGAGTCAGAAACAGAAGAAAATTGACAGTTACCTAAAGGCCTCCATCTGTCTTAATATTTGAGAAGAGGTCTTTAAAATGATTTATGCTAAAGTTCATATATACTGATCCTTTGACCCTTGTATAATATGCAGCAGATTTATAATAAAGCAGTCAAAATAAGACAAATGATGCATTTTCAGATAGTTGTGCATGCAAAGTTATTAAGCTGTCAGAGCTTAAACATTTGATATGCATGCTGTATTGCTAGTTTACGTAAGATTTTGAATATTATATAAAGCTAGACATAACATTTAAGATTCATGCATTTTGGTCCAAAGTAACCCTGTCTTAATTCTACTAAAAGAAAATACTTTTATTTGAAATCTTGGTTTTGACCCTTAAATGGATGCGACATGCCAGGTTTGATCTAGGTATGACAAGTACTTGCTCAAACAGTTTCTAGGCTCTTAAAAGTTCCACTGGGGACCCAGCGCACCAAAATTGGCATTAGTAGTGCCCCCTCCCTTCAGTCCTTATGTTTCTTCCTGAATTAGGCTCAAAGATGCAGTATGGTTCAGTCTGCATGATTTGTTTTAGGGCAGAACTAGAACAACAAGAAGAATCTTACAAAAACTAAAGGGTCCTAAATTAGAAGAATGAATTAAGTTGTTCGAGTTTATTTTTAATTGCCCAGGAGGCAGTTTAGAGGGCTAAATCCAAATGATCAGGCAACGTTATACTGGCATTCACTTTAATACTACCACCTCCAATTTCACCACTAATCTTACTTTATTATTTTAGGTTTCTTTTTTTCCCCAGTTCCTTCTCGAACGATAAACTTCTGCAAATGCTGATTTAAAAACTGACCAGCATTTTTAAACTGTTTTGTGGATTTTGTCTATACCAAATGTGTTTGCAAACAACAAAAAACAAAATATCATAACTCATCTTGTGTATTGTAGGAAATCTTAAACATGTACCATGATCTCATGTGTTTACCCACCTTTAGTGTAAAGGTTATTTAATAATTCAGCTCCAAAACTGGTCACACAGGCAGGAGTGCGGAGGTAGAGAGATGAGGCCGAACCGATCAGATACTCTAAAGTCCAACTGACCTGACTGTACCGTACCAATACTCAAACACCTACAACCTAGCACATCTAGCGCCTACTCGCAGGCAAAAAAACAAAACGTTCTCTAAAAACAACTCCCTGTTGAAGTAGGTTCAGGGGGAGATGCTACTGAGGCCGAGTCCAGGTGGAGACATTCCAAGGGTGCTTTGTGAAATTAATGTCAAATGACCATGTTGACACAGAGCTGCCGCGTGCGTGCCTGGACAGGGACGCTCTGGAGTGTTGTGCTCAAAATAACACTTGGGCCCACTTTGAAAGGAAAGTTAGTCTATAGCCCTATTTAGACTGGAACAGTTTATCAGGGGAACATCTGTTTAAAAAGAAAAATACATACATCTCCGTAGGCTGGGCGAACACTACATGACTTAAAATCTTACCAGATTTCTAAAACGGAGAGCACCACACACTTAACATCAGTTTGTCACAGAATTTCTTGTCTTTTTGTCACGAGGGGGCTCACACTAGACGACAAGGCAAAGAGAGAGTATAACACACATAACGAGTTTGGGCTACGAATAAAAACTCAAACTCCCAGATCTCCTCAGATCACATGATACAAACTGACCTCAACTTACTGAACCGGACCTGTTTGTGCTTTTATGCATTATATCGGTTCTTATCTGCCTGTGTTTTATATGCAGCTCCTCCATCTCCGCTCCGCTGTTCATGCACATCTCTTCACCTTTTTCACCGCGTATAAAGTAATGCTTTACTAAAGTGCTTCATACATGTAGAGGCCATTATAATGCCATTATACATATAATGGCTTTTACTTTTTAACCACCTCCACTCTGCATGCAACTGGACTTCTTTCCCAATTTTTCTTCCTGATTTAGTCACATCCAATTCCACCTACTAGTTAGGACTCTCACGATACCACTAACACTTGGAGGGTGAAGGCTAGCTCAGGCTTCCTCCGAGTCTTGTGAAGCGCCACCGCATCTTTTCGAACTGCCGCTCATGCAACGTCTTTGGGCAAGACTCCTAACATTGCCTTCGCCCACCTGTGTAAGATGTTGAAAAACCGTAAGTCGCTCTGGATAAGAGCGTCTGCCAAGTGTCGTAAATGTGAATACTGATCTGAATGTGTTCCAACAGAGTAAAGGGGGAGGCGGGGTTTATGATAGACATACACTCAAATGACAGGCCTTTTTATTTTTAACAAAATAACAAAAATCAAACTAAATCTTCAGAATCAAAAACTCTAACAAACCTTAAAAATATATATATAATTACACCCCTGACAATGTGCCTTTCCAGGAGAAAAAGAGCCAAACAATACCCTTCATTCTGCTGGAACTTCTCCTTTCGTGACATCAGGCCTTTCCTAACGACCTGTTTTTATTGTCTTACAGACACAGCGAGGAAAAAAAAAAAATCCACACCCATTAGCCAAAGTAATCACGCTGCCTCTCAATGTGCTAAATGTTTATGGTTGGTCAAGAAACGGTCATACTAGCCTTTCCTAAAGCAAAGATGAATTATTTATATTGGTTATTCTGGAGAGAGACCCGTAGAGTAACGCATAAATTATTTAAAGAAAACAATTTACAATTTTCTTAATGACTAAAATGACTAAAACTCACCTGAAGCCAAACATGATTTCGTCATGTCGAAGATGGGCGTCGTCATCGATGGACAGGATGGCTTCCGTTTCCACTGCGTCCCAGGGAAGAAAACGATTGTTCAAGCTGTTCTTCTCTGTCCGCACCACCTACAAGCACAGGGACATATGCTGAGTCAAAACGCCATATTTTTAGCTATCACAGGGGCACAGAAAACGTCCTGGCTCGAGCAATACAGACATCCAGCAATTACAAGCCAAAACAATTCATTTAAAACACGGAACGAGTCCGAATTTTAAAATAATTATGAATGTTTAAAATACAAATAGTAAATGTGATTTTTTTGCTAAGCAATTTAGCTTCTCTCTAACGTTACACACTCATATTAAAAGAGCCATGAGGCATCTCAACTAGGGCTGCCACAATCATGAAATTTTAGCTGATTCATTTTCATTTAATTAATTGCAATTAACCATTTGATTGTCTTTTCTTATTCATTGTTTACAACTATTCAAATACAAGCCTAAAGTGGACAAACTGGCTGAGGGCTGGGCAATGTGACAACATATATCATTATTATGATAAATTTCATCACTGTACAATACAATATGCTTTTCTGAACAGACTGTGTACATCATCAGTTCTTCCGAAACACTGACCATCTGCATGTTTCATTATAAAGAGAGCAAAATAAATCTTGTTTAACTGGATTTAGTGCAACACAGTGTGCCAAATACTGAATAAAAATCACTGCAATCATATTTTTCTTTTTTATGTAGTGCTACTGGTCCTTTTTGCTCAGTTCCAAACTGATCAGATGTCTGAAAAATAAATATTGTAACATAAATATCGTGAAAAATTCCTGAAGTATCACGATATTATATTTTTTGCAATATCGCCAATCTCTACTGAGTAGCCACCTTACTTGATAGCTATGGTTACTTAGGAGCTAACACCGGTTGTACGGTTGAATTAATACTGCACACACTCACAGAAATGTCTACAGCAGTGTTGCCGCTACATATATTTTACAGCAGCGTTTATTATTGTCACAATGTGTACAATTATTGCCACCACTGCTTCAGAATTTTATAAAATGTCAGGAAGTCACAATTACAAAACTCTGCAGAGGACTTTTAAATTGAAACAATGGATACAGGCACAAGTTTGACATTTTTTGAACGATGGCTTGAAATTTGTGCACTGAATTCACTTATTTGGTGCCCACATAAGCAAATTACTCAATAAATTACAATATAATGAGACAAATGAAAAGTCTCATTATACAATGAAGCATTTCTGGTGAAAAAGTCACAAATGCTTTTACCACTTTACCATTTTCAGCCAACAAATTGCTGAAATTCTAGTGCATCCCTAATTAAATGGAATTGAACTGAATTGAATAATGTGGTGAATTTATTACATTTGGTATCAGCTAACTCTTCACAAACTTGTTTTTTTATTGGTACGAGGTGAAATAAGTCACAACGTGGCTAGGCTGCATTTATTTCCTTATCTTAAAGACTTTGCTACTTTCTCGTTGTAAATTTTGGGCCTAACATGGATTTGTGGTCTGGGGAGAAGGTTTGTAAGAGTAAGATATCCAGTAGCTCTTTTTTGGATGCTATGTGTCCATCTAATACAAGTAGCCTGCAGTAGCCTGTAGTCTTTTTTTCTGGCAGGGGGAATTTTTTAAAAAAATATTTTTTAAATAATACCTTATAAATTGAAATACCAAATTTCACTAAAACTGAAAGTCTAATCTCTAACAGGAATGTGATTTAAGTAATTACCAATATTGGCTTTCCATTTGACAGTTACTCTGGGGAAATATCTTTAGAGGTTTGCTCAGCTGTTCTCCATCCCCTATTCACAGTTACTTAAGCAAATAAAGATTCCAGAACTGTATAAAAGATTCATCACAGTCAGACAGTGAGGATTTTAGCATTGTTCACAATTCCATTTAGGTTTCCATTTCAAAGCACAGTCTTTCCATGCTCTTAACGCTTATCTATTTCCTGTAAAAGCTGCAACAGTAATTTGGCTTGCGCAACTTGGCTTGGCCTGCACAGCTGAACATTCTGCTTCAAAGTGAAGGGAGAAAATAAATAAAACCTGCTCCAGGAGGTCAAACAGCATGACGGTTTTTCCACACCTATATCATCTCAGAATAATAACAGGATATGCGTATTTTTCAAGCTCGTTTGCCAGCTCTTTCAATTTATAACACTCAACTCTTAATGACCATTTCTTAGTTCAACCAAAACCAACGAGAGGAAACAAACTCACCACAATGGGCAGCCCGATGTCTGGCCAGAGGAGGTCATCTGAGGGTGGTTTGGGGGAATTCCAGACTACTACCACCTTGTTGAGATAGGGAAGGCCATTCAGCCTCTCCAGGGAGTTCATGAGCACCTCCTCTCGCTCATATGTCAGCATGACCACTGTAAACTGCTCTCGTGGGACGTTACCTCCAAGTGCAGCCTGAAACTCCTTTCCAGAGCCTCCAGAACCTCCACCAATTGGGCGGAAGCCGGTTCCTGAGCCTAGGAACTTTGCCTCGGAAGGAAGAACTGGGTCCAAAGGAGTGTGGGGGAAGAGATGGAAAGGTCCGGGAGCATGATTCCAGGTTCGGTAGACATCCGACACAGTATATGTGAAATTTCGCAAAAATCTGGGTGAAGCATAAGGAGGCTCTGTTTCTACTGGACCAAGATCCAGATCACCATTGTCAGCCATATTGGCATCCGTTCCTGCCATCTTCCCAGCTTTGTGTGGAATCTCCTGGGCAGGTTCCTCTTTTATGGGGGCTGCTGGTATCTGAATGCTAGTTCGGACACTAGCAAGAATGGTGTTGAAAATACTCTCTGAAGTGGAAAAATATGTCTCCCAAAGGAATCGACCCTGCCGTCGCATGGCTAGTAAGTCATTGTCAGAGAGGCTTCTTAAAAGAAAGTGCAACTCTGTTATGCGAGGCTTGGGTACCATGATAGCTGCTTCATTCCAACGTATGAGCTGGTGATAAGGCAACTTTGAGTGGTCCCCAAGCACCACAGGGATTGCCCCAACCTCCAGGGCCTCAAACAGGCGCATGTTACATCCAGCAGATGCCACAAGTTGTCCATCACCTGGAGAAATCACCAAGGCAAATGTAGATGCCTTTAGTACCTCTAAACGATCTTCCCGCTCCCCACACAGGGCCCATTCAGTTGGCAGGCTTGGTTTTGGCCGGTTCTTGCAGGTGAATTCCACAAGTACTTGGTCTAGATGACTATCTTGCACAGCTTTAAGGGTGCCAATGATGCGATCATCATAATCGGCTGGTGGATCTCCCTCCATTTCTTCCTCAAAGGACTGTGGTGGTGCTTCCAGCAAACTGCTCCTCAGAGACTCCACTTTTTCACCCTGGAAGGTGAAGAGATACTTCCTCTTCACCGGGACCTGAGGAGGCACCTCCAGAAAGTTAGGCTCAGATAGAGCATGGACAAGGGGAGACACCACCAGGTCGAAACCTTCCCTGTACTGTCGTTCCAAAAAGGTAGACTGTGCTATAGCTGCTCGGCCTGTGCTTACATTGTACAAGAAATTCTGAGTCAAGGATTTTCTGGACAGGTGGACCAGCAGGTGATTATGGCCATCTGACCTCCAGTATGGCAAAGCCTTTAGTTGCTTTTCCAGGTCCAAGGGAGAGGAGGGGGTGAGGAATCATGTACCTCTCCAACAAGCACCACATATAGACATGCGATACTCGGATTATCTGTAACATAGACACTGCTCTTAACAGATGATGCAAAGGCTTGTTTGACCAATGGGTCAATATTCTCACCCCAAGGATATGACCCTGTGTCATACACATAGACTGGGAACCCAGACGTAAGGGGACACCTGGCGTAATCAAAGCAAGTATGCAAGCGACAGGACTGTACAGACCTTGGAGGTGGCAGTCCTGGATCGTCTTTGTCTGGTAACAATCTGACTGGCAAAGATAATTTGGGCTGGTTCTGTGCCATGAGTTCCTTATAAGAGTGTTCTGTCTGGCTGATGACATTTTTGAGTTGTAGCAAGTCCTGTTTGGCACTGTCAATACTACGCTTACAGGCTTCGATACGCAGGTTGAGACGGGCAATCTCGCCGTTGAGTTCCTGCCGCTTGGCTTCCAGCTGAAGCAGCTCTTCGCTCACCGATTCCCGTATTCGACACAGGTCCTGTACATGCTTCGCTTCACAAAGTTCGCCACCAGGCCTCGGGCCGAAGATGCGTTTGTCCGGCCCACTTGTCTCATCAATCGTGGTGAGGTAGTAATGTGCAATGAGTGGGAAGAAGACCAAGATGAAGAAGAGCATGAAACTGAGCCAGGTCAGTCGTACCCGCCGAAGCACCCATGACTGGCTGCCGTTCCCCACAACACCTCCGTTTCGCTGCATCGTCCAAATGTCACTCTCCACCACACCAAACAGGTAAATGAAGTTCTTGGGGGGATTCAGCAGCCATAATGCAATCTCGCCTGCATTGTGTAAGCACAGGTCAACATACAACAGATCATCCCTTACTTAATATCTTTTAAAAAAAGAAATGCAGGTCACCAACTTCATTGAGGTTTTAAAAAAACGGAAACTTCATTTTCAAGAGCATACAGTCCAATCATAACGCTGTTTTACTCTGTGTTATGTAAGCGTACTCCAGAACTATCCCAGGGTACAGAAGAGGCCTTGAACAGTGGCAAGAACAGAGTTTCCCTTGCTGAAATGCCAGCTGAGGACATGGCTTGTGTATATTTTCCTATGAGGCACTCTGTTTCCCAAAGCCATTCTTCTGTTCAGTATGAAGCCATAATAGGGTCTATGGTGTGCCCTCGGGCCAGCTTCTGCATGATGGACTATGGGCCATCTAGAATGCCTTTAATCCAATGTCCAGTCTAGAACAAAGAGAGAGAGAGAGAGAGATACAGTGTAATAGCTATTACAAAAGTCTTTTAATGTAACTGCTACTAAATTAAGATTTTGCAGGCTACTTCTCAGAATAGCATTTGTTCCAGAGAAAAACACTTTCATCACAACATTAAACAGACTAAAGACTCCTTGTGTGGAGAGGCCTGGAGGAAAATTCCAACCAGAGTAGGTTATTCTCAGCGACATGACAAGAACCGCAATCCAACTTGACTTAAATGACAAACATATTGTTTCCTCTTTTTTGATACACAACCAGCGCTGCCTGTTAATTAAAGGTAAACCTGAATGATTTGAGTGATTTTACATCATTTTTACCAACATTTTCCAATTCAAGTGACCAAAATCTCATTACTGCAACACAATAAGATTTGAAGATTAACGTGTAGATAATGGGCCTCATTCACCAATATCTTCATTTTTTTTCTTAAATGTGATTCGTGATGTGTTCTTAAACTGCAAAACTGTTCACACCTTTGTGCTCGAGTGTGTGTAGATTCTGTTCTCACCGAAGAACAAATCCAAAAGAAGAAAACACTGGTAAATGTCAGAATCTTCGCAAAAACTGCATAAGTGTGTCTTAAGACGAAATTTCCTTTTAAGAACGATTGGTGAATGAGGCCCAAAGTTTTTTTCCCACTCTAAGTCTTTTCATAATCTATATACTTTAATCCATCCAAGCAGTGAAGCTAGTTATCAAAATATATTTTAAAACATACACCACATAATTTTAACATGTTTACAGGCACCTGCGTTTTTTTCTCCTTACTTGTGGCACATCAAATGTTTTTGAGTTTATAAGGAAACTTTTTGTGAAAAAAGCTAAAACATAAGTATCAATAATGCAAAACAAACATGTGGACACACTGTCATAATGAGAATTAGGGTAAGAAATTTGGCTGGTTTTCTTATAGTGCTATCAGTGAACTTGTGTTCACTGAAGAAATCATAAACTCAGAGGAGTATAAAGACATTTTGGACGCAAACCTGCAAAAGTCTGCAAATAAACAACTAAAACAATAACAACAATAACAACCGGCCAACTTTTTATATGGTCTTGGAATGATCTGTTAAAAAAAAAGTGCCACTTTCGTTTGTTATTTTGCTTCCTAACACAATAACTGTACACTTTTTAGTATGTCCAAATACTTTTTGGCATCACTGCATGCATGAGCACAAGTTTCGTTAGCATCTACTCCTTGCTCTCCTTTTGCATCATCCATCGCCTACGTTTTCTTTCTCTTCATTATTTTTTAGCACTACTAATGGCTTCTGTCTAGCTTTCGAACACTAGTCAAATACACATGGAGACATTTTCAAGAAAGTTGGAAATTAAGGAAATACACAAATAAATAATAAATGAATAAGTCAAACAGATTTTCAGAGAAGCTTAAGCATGTTTGCCTTTTAAGCCGAAGCAAACTACTTAGCTTTACCTTAAAATAAGACACAAAAAAGAGGCATTACAGTCAGAGAATCTCCTGAGAATGCCAGACAGCCATTAGTGAAATCCAAAAGACTTTAAACTGATTTATCAGCTTTGGGTGAGCAGATGAATTTCTCTCTAGCAGAGCAGCTTGTAACATGGCGGCTGCACCTGCTCCCCCGCTGGACGGAGCCACGCAGCCTCACCGAACTCATTACTCACGCCACACCGAGCGTCCATGACATAAATGCAAGATGAGAGTCCAGTCTCAGCTTATACAGTGTGACAGTCCATTATAATGAGCCAGGAGAACAGTCATAAGTCACTGCTTTGTGTTCATAAGGTAACCATGAGCGACCAGCAATATCTTGAACATCACTCAGTGCTACACTGTACTGCGCAGTAGAGCTAGGCATCGTGACAGTATTTCTCGTTATTGTGATGAATTATGTGACACAAAGCTTTTCTGAGCATATTGTGGATGTCGTCATTACTTACCAACAGCATGCTTCATTATAAAGAGAGCGTAACTAGTCCTGTTTAATTGGATTTAGTGTTAATACTTTACTCAGTTTTCGAAAGCAATGTTTTAATGTGGTGCTGCTGGCTCTTTATTTGCCTGTTCCAACATATCAGATGTCAGAAAAAAATAAATATCACCACATATTGTGTATCAGGAATATTTCTTGAAGTTTCACCATATCGCCCACCTCTACTGTACAAGTATATATTATTGTTTACCAAGGTACAAACAACGTAAGTGCATCCTCAAAGGTACAACAGTGGAAAACAGCATATTTGTACCTTTTCATAAACTACTTGCTTTATATGGAAAAATAAAAAAAAGCCAGGAGCCAACACAGTTTGTATAGAGTAAAATGCAACTTTTAAAATTTTACTACAGTGGAATACAGTAAAATCATATTCCCTAACTGGAAGTACTGAAGAAGTAGGAGTGAAGAAGTGGTGCCATTAGTACCTTTTTATCAAACATATTATTATTGTTGTTATTTTTATTATTATTATTATTATTATTATCGATACAGTGTTGTTTAACAGTGGAGAACATGGATAATATGAAGCAATTTCTGTGATGATTTTCAGAAGTTAGAATTTTGATTGTGGGCTGATGACGATATTTTTCCATGTATTTTTCTTCCCAAATTATGCTGTAGTATGAAAAAGCACTGCACTTTCAATACATTGTGCCCGAGCTTATTGGCCAGGCTTAAGAAATTATGAGCGAGCTGCATGTTTAGATTAATTGTGCCAGGGCAGAGGTCTTCAAATACCTCCTCAAGGACCCTTCAATTCAAACTCCCAGTACACCTGAGTCAGTTAATGAAGCTTCTACAGCCCTCAATATCCTAGGTGTTCAATCTGAGGGGGGTACTTTAGTCTCTACTTAACACAATCTCTTCATAAGACTGCACTGAAAAGATACCTGAGGCACTTGGAGTTAATTAACAAACTGTATTAGAACCTCATTAACTTTTTTCCTATTTGGTTGGTATGTTAGATAAGTGACCATCTGTTTCTCACATCACAGCTGCTAAAACGGAAAAAAAACCCAAAAAAAACAAAACAAAAAAAACAGTAAACAGACTCTGCCTTATTAAAAACGCATCCTACTAAGCTATGAAGTAAAATGTTCATTTGGGGTGGACAATTACATGGAAATGTCATTGCAATCAGTGCCGGGTGGTATCAGGGATATCGCGCTGTTTAAGAATGAAGATGTCCAATTTTTCTTTCAACCCTGCAAATATTTAGATTTTAGAGGCAGGAAAATCCTCAGTAAAACTGAGCATGACAGTGGCTCAACAACACGCTCAGCTGTCACTGTAACACCAGTCACTCCACTCTGCACTCCCAGAGATCCTCTAAACAGGGGTCACTTTAGCATCAGTTAGCTGGAGCAGAGCCTGTGCGGTGTGGCATGTTTAGCCTGCTAACTAAGCTCTCGTTAGCGCAGCCAAAATGCCACAGACCCAAAAACAACAGAACTGGCTCAATTACAGCAACCAGTCACCCCACTTTTACTCTCTCAGACATTAGTTAACATCTAAAGGTGTTTCAGCAGAGCAGCTGTTGGTCAGAATCAAGCCTGTACTGTGGTGTTTGACACTGTTTGGGTCTGTAGCTGCTTGCTAAGCTAATGTTAAGTTACAGATCCACACACCACAGAACAGGTTTAAGTTCTCCTTTCTCTCCCTTCAGCAGTTGCTCGACTTCACTCTCTCATGTGCGAATCAATATCATCTAAATTTGTCAGTACTTTAGTTAGCTAGAACCCGTTCTGTGGTGAGTAGAGCTCTTTTCATGTTAGCTAAGCTAATGCTAACCAGTCCATCTCGCCTATTTAGCAGCACTGTTTAACAAGTGGCTACTGCTCAACTCCAGTCGCAATATGTTTCCTGAGCATATCGTGGAAATAGTATCGTGAAAACTCTGGTGATATAATGTTTTTACCATATCATTTAATCTTGGTTCATTTTCATGTAGTAAAAACCTTACAGATAAAAAAAATCCTTAAAACAGGCACATCAGGCCAAATCTGCCTTCTGGATCTAAGCACTAGAGCTAACACTTGTAATAGTGAGAGAAAAAGCAACGCTGGGCGTCACATAATCAAATCAGGAGGAATCTGCTCTCCAGAGAGAGCGATTGCAAAAACACACTCTGCTGGATGACCTAGATAGAGACAGGGGGTTATCTAGAACTGAGCAAACACAACGTCAGACTCGGCTAGACGTTCAGAGCCGGTGTTTCAGACACAAACTGACATTTAGTCGCAACAGGGCACCCATTTTCGACATGTGTCAAGAATGTAGACGCATTATTATAGTAGACGTGGTCATTAGATTGAAGCAGTGCAAGTGGTGTTCACAAACATGAGGGCTGCAATCATTAGTAAACACAGGCTAGATTTAAAAAAAGGCAATTAAAAACAACACAGGCCAGTCGCAGATGGCCATATACAGTAGTGTGGAAGGGTTTAGGCGCCTCAGTCTAATTACGTTTCGTGGATTTTCTAAATGAAAATAACACATCCTGTACAGAGAACTGCAAAGTTAAGCTCACAATTTCGATCTATTTGTTGAGTGGAAACACAAAAATATGAAATGTGCCATGACTTTTTCACAGGCCACATTTTATATTTCCAATATGTTAAATTCAAGGAAAAATATGTATCTACCCTGCCTCTAACTCTAGATGTGTGGTCTCTGTAGAGAATGTTTTAACTTATTTTCACTCAGAAAATCAACGAAATCTGTATGGTACTGACAGATGCATGACCTCACCATGATCCCATTGCAATTCTTTAGTAAACAACTCAATCTATGATCTTAAAACAGCAACAAAAACAAGAGGCCAGTGCATGCTGGATGCATACACTGTTAGAAATAAAGGTGCTGTGCAGGTACATTTTCATTCATCAAGGTACAAACAGTGGTTTAATGTCCAATTGTGTACCTTAAATAAGTTTTCCCAGGTGAAAAGTATGTATTTGTACCTTACCATTCAAAAATCAGAACAATA